CAGAAGCAGAAGCAGAAGCAGGGGGCGCGGGTTAGAGCCGGGGAGGGGAGCAAAGGGAAGGTGGGAACAGAGTCGTCCTCGGGTGCTGACTGCCCCTCGCCCAGGCTCACAGAATAGGAGGGAAGATGGTGCCTGGGGTGTCTCAAACTAGCTCTACCATCTTGGAAAGGGATTTGCACCACTGGATGCAATGTCCTCCGTCCTGGAGAACGATGGCCGCAGCCGAAGGGCCTTCACAGCTGGCGAGGGACTGGCCCAGCTGGGCCCAGCTGTATGTGCTGGAGAGAGATCTCCACAGCTGGCGAGGGCCCTGGCAGCACAGCTGGAGACAACATCTGGCTGAAGCCTGCAGCAGAGCGTAACATGCAGCTCTGGCCTAAATCTAGAGCCACCTGCCCAGGCGGCAATGGACAGGGAGCCCCGGGGGGAGCCGCTTACTGAGATCAGTGCAGGGGCTGGCAGCCAAGGAGCAGAGATGCTGGTGCACAGCGGGAACTGGCCATTTATACTTTCCGAGCCCTGCCACCCAAATCCCCTGCAGCTTTCAAAACAGCCAGGAACACGGGATCTCATCCCTCCCAAGCAGCCCCGCGCTGCAGCGAGTGAGGAAAGGAGATTCGCTCCCGGCCAGTTTCACCCACGCCCCGGTTTTGCCTAACGAGCCATGTGATCTCATTACCGGGGGTGGCTGGCTCTTCACTCGGGTCACTGGGCCCCCAGGTGGGGATGTGGAATTGACCGGGCTGAGATGCGAGCTGACACTTGGGCGCAGTCTCCGGGGCGGCAGGGCGGGGAGGCCGAGGTCAGCTCGGGCCAGCCAGTGCTTTCCTCACCCTCCCCACCTCGCTAGTCACCGACCCGCCGTGGGGCTAGCGGACGGGGTCTAACCTGGGCCGTGGGACACCTGGGCTCAGTTCCCTGGGCTGCCACAGACGCTGTGGGTGACCTTGGACCAGTCTCTGCTCCTGCCGGTGCCTTAATTCCCCATCTGCAAAATGTGGGGTGGGGGGGGTCTCTACATCAGAGAGTAAAATCCCTGACTGACTGGGAGGGGCCCGGCTGCCGTGCGGGGAGGCACCAGGAGAGATTCGCGGCCTGTGGCTCTGCCGCTGTCCTTAAGGCTGTGTGACCCGTAGCCCTGCTAGCCACAAAGTGACCGTCCCCCCCCGGATCGCTCTGGCTGCGGTTCCCCTTTGGGCCCGTAGAAGGCGTGCTATGCTGGGGGGGAGCAAGGGCCCAGCCTGTCTCCGATCACAGCCCCGGGCTGCACGGCCGGAAGCCAGGCTTCGGTTCAGGCCCGGCTTGCCAGCTCGCTGGGGTCAGAAACGGGCCAAGCTGCCACGGTGCAGGAGGCCACGTGATTTGCCCCGTGTGGCTTCTTCCAGCAAGCACAAGTTCCTGCTCCGTAGGCCGCCTGGAGCGTCTGCAGACAGGGCAGGATAGCTCGTGTCCCGCTGAGCTGCAAAGTTCCTGGGCCCGAATTAAACCAGACTCGCCCCAGCGTTTCGCTGCAGGCCAGGTGATTTCCCCCCCCTCCCCCCCTGGCGCTGAGGCCTGCAGGGAGCTCGTTAGCTGTGGCTGACGGACGAGGCCGTGGTTACCGGCAAGAGAGCCGGATCTCACTGGCCCGGGGGACTCTCCCAGCACAGAGAGTTCCCAGCAGTCCAGACAGGCAGGCAAGGTCTCCACCATTAGTGCACCGGGGCTGCCGGATCGGATATGGGGACCCCCTGCTCAAATATTGCCCCAGTCTTCCGGTCTCGCCCCCTCGTGTCACCGGTCCCCAGGGAGGAACGTGGCCCAACATGTGATCAAACGGCCCCTATCAAACATCATGGGCTCAGCAGAATTGCTCTGGAAGGCCCATCTTGCATCTGAAGAAGTGAGGTTCTTACCCACGAAAGCTTATGCTCCCAATACTTCTGTTAGTCTCAAAGATGCCACAGGACCCTCTGTTGCTTTTTACAGATTCAGACTAACACGGCGACCCCTCGGATACTCTGGAAGGCGCAGTTACCCCCAGTTCCCGGGCCCCTGGCAGGCTGGCTGACGGGGGCGGGGCGCCCCGGGGCGGCCGGGCCCCGTTGCCGCCGGCTGCCCATCCCCTGGCTCTCGG